ATATTCCACAAATTGTATTTGTGTTTCCGATGCTTCATTGGATCCTTTTTTTGTCGTGTTCCTGTGTGCTAAAGGAAAACACTCTTGGTCCTTTTAAAAACAGATCTGTTGATTACGTCTTAATTTGTGTCAAAAACTGCAAAATGTCGTTTAGTACTGACATTAAACTGTTTAGTTGTGTTTTCTTCATTCTTGTGTGCGTACTTCTTCACGAGGAAGTTTTAGTAGAGTTTAAATGGTACGCACATAACTTCCTCATTCCCAACGAGTTAAAAACGAAGACAATGTGCCCGAGCGGGAGACGGAACCCATTTGTTTTTTCTTCTACGTTAGAATACAATGTTATATGACCAGTAAATTTGTAATTCCTGATCTTGGAATTTTGGAGGGGCTCAGCATTGAACTTTAATCACCATGTATCAACTCTTTGTAACGCCTCGCTGATGCCTCGTGTTAAGATATCTCGCTTTGCAAAGTGATCTTCTTTGCTTGCATGGTTGTTGCAGTTACGTAGTTTTTTCTTGGTGCGCACGAAACAAATTTGCTTGTAACGTTTGGAATTGTATTCACCATACTGCGTCACCCTCCATTGGACGTGCTGATAGACGGTTTAAAGAATTACATACGAGATCTTTATGGAATTACATATGAGATGTTTGGCTGGCAAGTGCCAGTGCAGCTATGCCAAATTACTTTAGAAGCTGGGATCACGCGCTTTGTTTAATAGACTTCGTTCACATAATGTCTTGATTTTAACACATAAGGTATGTATGGGCTGGAGTTTAGGCGGATATTGTCACGCTCAAGTGCGACGGAAAAATGTTACATCCCTTAGCAAAAAGAGGCAGTACATGAAACGAACTTGAAATATATGGAATACGAATATTCACTTTGTATTCAATCTGTATTATTTTGTCCCCATTCGAAATACGTGCGAAAGGTATTCAAAATATATCATAAATATTAATCAGAAAAAATTTTAGATATACCAAAAATATAATTCCTTGCTCCTCAAGATGTCATTCGTGCACATTTTAGTGCACAAATAGCATTCTGAGAAGCAAGGAATTATATTTTTGGTATATCTAAAAGTTTTTCTGGTTAATATTTACGACATAGTTTGAATACCTTTCGCACATATTTCGAATGGGGACAAAATAAATGCAAAATGATTATTCGTATACCTATACAGCTACACCAGCTACACATTTGGGGGGGGGGGGTTTGGTAGCAAATGTGTCCTTGCGTATTGAAGGCACTATACTAAATACGTCCCACAAATAAGCATTAGAAACGCACACAAACACAAACACCATGACGCACTGAACACCTGAATGACAGTCCCGTTGACTGCTCTAGAGCCTTATATAGCCTACATATTGAAGGTAATCATTTGGCCGGTGACCAGCCCTGCACTTATTAAGGTTCCAAGTATTCGATATTCTCCTCGGGAGTTTGTCAAAGGGGAAACAGTGTTTTGAAGTTCGTGGACGATATCTCTTACTACATGCATTAATACAGCTAATATTAATTCGGCGCAGTCGCTAAAACAATATCCATTAAAACGTCTCCTAGAAAAAAATTATTGCTTCTCTGCGTAGCACCACCCAGGATGAGGCGATTGAAGCTAGTTTCTTCATTTTAAAATAGTTATTTTGCTTTTCTTTATTAGTTGACTATTTAATATGGTCATTAACGTCACTGTATTAAAGTCACTGCTCACATCACGTACAATGGGGAGTATACGCATTCAGTGAACTAACATTATGCTAACACAAATACACGCCAAACATATCTGCTCACAGCACTTGCTGAAGCTTTCCAGTATCAGCAAGTGTTGTGGTTGTAGTTCCCGAACCCCGTTTTTGATTGGTGCGCAAGAAACTCATCAGGTCTGTTCTCGGTAGAAAAAAGGAAGGAATAACATAAACTGCGCTGATTTATCAGTGCAATGCTGCACAATTCAATTGACAAACTAATCAAATGTTATGCTTAGGCGCTTCAGTGTACTCCAAATGTGCTTGAAGTGAACTTCTGATAGGCGAGCTTTTCAATACTTTGGTAGTTTAAGTCAGACTACCAAAGTATTGCACTCAAAAGATACTTAGAGCATAACACAACAGTATTTACAATTTCCAGGTATTTGAAGAGTATTCTGCACATATTTTTCATCGCTGCATTTTTATTAGGTTTGGAGTATATTTTGGATGAAATAAATACATATTTAAAAAAAATCTATGTGAAAGGTATTTTGGGCCTACTATTTTAGAATTTACATATTTCACAACGCATGAAGGGAACTTCAAATGTAGTTTAAATAAAGGTATTTTTAAAAGATTTTCACAAATATATTTTAGTACCAAGTAAAAAAAAAAGAAGTGTATACTTTCGGTCTATTTATTGTGTACTTACAATTATGAACTGTACTTCAAATACACTCAAATTAGGATGTGGTATATTTCAAACGTCTTAGTTTTCGCTAAGGGATTACACACAAGCCGAGGCAACATTAACCATATGCAGCCCATAGCAAGCCATGTATGAGCGCCCAAAGAGAGGAATTCTTAGCCAGTTTTGGTAAATCGTAATTATAATTTGTTCTGCACGAGTACTCTCGCTAAAATAAAAGTTATAGATAATGCGTGTCGAGCGAAAGTTTTGAAATAAATATCCGTCTAAAACAAGCGCCTGGAACTCGCTACCCGAAGAACTAAATTCAATAATGTCTACAACAATTTTAATGCGATGGTAAAATGTGTTATTTGTTAGCTCACCCGGCGTCTTCATGTTCATGACTCTATGACCTTAATTCTGTCTTGAATGGTTGTATCTCTCATCACACCCTCTTTGAACATTTTTTTATGTATATATGTACTCGCATCGCTCACACGCAATAATGCATTCGGAAGATACAAAGTAAGTTGAATAATTGAAGAAAAAAAATTACATGTCATTAATTGTAGCAAATGAAAAACTTACCAAGCGGCTCAACCGGAACCGAATTCCGGGCCACGCAATCCGCAACCTGACGCGTTTGCTCCGCGCCACGACAGGAGGTGAAAGAACGCCGAAAAGTGGACTAAGTCAACGCCACATAGAATAATCAAAGCCTGTGAACAGCTTCCTTGACATCTGCGTGACGTCATCACGCTTAAGTGGCGTCGACCAGACATCTACGTAACGCGTTACAAGTAACGAGTTACATCTACCTGGTTCCTATTTTCCGTAACGAGTAACGTATTTAGTTAGTTTTAAGTCCAAGTAACGAGTAACGGTATTTCGTTACTTTTGAGGAGTAACGTGTACAACACCGCTTAAACGGCCTTGTTTTTATTCAAACCTGAGTATGCGTCTATTGCGAGAACGGTAGCTGGGCAGCCAGAAAAACAAATAAACAGTATCACATAACGGCAACGCATATTGCTGAACATGTCAGTCGAACAGTTCGACTGACGTGTCCAGCGATAAACCTAGCTGTACTGAACTCTACAACTGGGAATGTCCTTCACCCAGCGAACACAATAAGGTTCGTTGGTTGAACCTTCTGCTTCTAGAACCGGGTATGGACCGAATGTAAACTCGGAGGTTGCGAGCACGAGAAGGCACAGAACCCATACTCGCTGTCCTCAATGAATGCGTAGCTTCCTGAAGATTCACCAGGCCTTCCTGAAGCACAACACAGCCGTTCCTTCGAGCGCGTCAGTAGATATTTCAGCGTCGCCGGAGATGTATATTCAATGAAGCGGGGAAAAGTAACCGATGAAAGCTTCGAGAGGCAGCTACTGCTTAAGTGCAGTGGCTACTAAAAAGAAAACAATAAACCCTGAAACAAAATCAGTTGTGTATTCGGTCGTCAAAGTAACGCGAAAAGTAACTCGTTACTTTTGAGGTAACTCAGGCGTTCCTTTTGGGAATCGGTAACGAGTAACGGATTTAGTTACTTTTTGAGCGAGTAACGAGTAACCGTATTTAGTTACTTTTTGGGGGTAACGTGTACATGCCTGGCGTCGAGTCAGCAATGGACCTTTTCGAGAAGCATTCTGCGCACGCGCGAGCGCCCAATGCCAAGCGGTAGAAGTCGGAACGAAAAATCGAGGAAATTCGGAATGAGGCTGTAGAACGAAGAGTAGAAGACGTAATTGCAGCATATATATAATTGCGTTACACAAAAAAAGAAAGTGGACGGAAGGAAAAACACGACGTTTGGGTGGACGCTACGGATTTCCCTCTTTAAAGTCACGTTGGGCACGCGACGCAGCTCAGAGAGCGAAGCAACTGGTAGCGTAGCTCCCATTATCGATTGGTAGCGCAGGTAGGTCACTTCCTCGATTTTTAGTTCGTGGAACCACAGCCTGGTGCCGTCGGTATTTGGAAAGGGTCCATTGGGCCCAAACCCGACGCCGAGCGTCCTTCGACGGAATGACTGGGTGCGAGGCTTAGCCGAGCGCTAAAGCAACGTACGGGTTTAATATGAATGTGCGCTCACTTTCACTGCGATGGCGTCGAAATGCAAATGCACGTGCTTTGATCATTCTTTATGGTGTTGAAAAAGTATTACTCAGAAGATGCTTTTTGAACAGGCGACGGGCGGCGTGCACAACTGGTTCCCGATTGCCAAAAAGCTTGCTTGTGTCTCCTTTTCTGATTTGTTAACTCGCGAACGATATGAGCTAAAACACCTAAACTGGCCCTTTTCTACGCTCGTGGTCCTAACGAGCTCAAGTTCTAAAACGTTCGTAGTATGGGACCTCAACTTCGCATTCTATTCCTAGGCCGAACCACAGCCATTTAAAGATACGTCGAAGTGGCGTCAAGGAATGTTTCCGCTCTTATCGTTCGGGATAGTACGAGTTCCTCTGATTCCCATGGCAGCGTCTCACTTCTTAGGCTTAGGGCTTCTTCTGGACAGGTCAAAATATAGATCTGTCAGTTAGTGAACATATCTACCAACCCCAATATAATCGATATCTGCAAAAAAAAAAAAAAGAGTCTAACTCATAATGCGGTACGGCTTTCGTAAAACGTGCCCAAAACGTTGATTCCGTGATCTATTTCAATAAATGCGAATGCTTCTTTTCGCACGTTTAGGTTGATTGTCAGGAATGATACGGAAGCGGTTTTGAAATCGAAGAAAGGGCGACCGAGCTATCATGGTGCAGTGTGGAGCATTCGGCCGTCTATTGCCACACTCCACGCAACATTTTGTTTTAAAGAAAAGGAATAAAATAATTATGAAAAATCAATGTTCTACAAGTTTTCGTGGTATGTTTGTGTTTTTTAATATTTTTCAGAGCCGTCACAGGGGGAAAAGTTGAAAAGCAAGAAGAAGCGGTGCCGAGCAGCTTTCTCTCACGCGCAGGTCTACGAGCTGGAGCGGCGATTTAGTCATCAACGCTATCTGTCCGGTCCTGAAAGAGCAGACTTGGCTCACGCGCTCAAGCTCACAGAAACACAAGTAAGCTGCTGTTATCACGGTAAAGGAACAAAAAAAAAGCGGTAGTAAGAGGTTCTCCTGAGCAAAACAGCTCTACTGCGTTTTTTCATACGATAGAACGCAGAGGACGCTACAATGCATTCAACACAATTCAATATTGTGTAAGGGTAGCGTGACCTCTGGAAGGTACGCAAAAACGTGCGGGGCGCGTAGTCGCGTGGTATCGTTGAAAGCGATGGACATACTAGGATGGCTCGTGGCGTCCATTGCGGTCTTTCGGAAAACAGAGCAAATCGAACGTAGGCGTTCTAATGCTTTCTTTTCTTTTCGCACGGTCAGTATTTAATTTTATCGAAGCCACTAATCTCGGAATAACTTCTCGAGATGAGAATAAGCAAACCATTGAACAGATATGTTGATTAACGGCGAGTACAACACGAAACACAAAGCATAGCACCACAATAGAAGAGGGCACTCTACAAGTGCAGCACTTCATGTAAATTTCATGACGTACACTTCCAGGAAATTCCAGTAGACCTCATTTTCTGCAAAGCACTCCGAGTGTTAAAACATTTTGATGACCAGCCCGGGGGAAGTTTTAATCTGAAACTGAAGTCCTAATGTGTTTTCATGCATGGGATTTTACATGCCCACGTCTTGCTGAGTGCTTCATTTTAAAGTTTATTTGCACACTTTCAGGTCCATTCTTGTGCTCCTGTTAAATGTAATATAACAAGATAAAAATACGCCCTCCATGCTCCATCGGACAGACAAAGGAGTACAATCGCGAACATGTTTACCACCGCGAACATATCGCTCTTGCGAAATCTGACAGGGCGGTCAAATATATTGAGACACTCATTCCTGTGCGAACCATATTAGAGTGAAATTCATTACCAGGGGAAATGTTGTGCCACGAGAATGCTGTTTGTTATATAATGCACTCTGACCCCCCGCCCCCTCTCTCCCGCATTAATGGCCGAGAGGCGCTGCGGGTTCTTCTTGAATAAAGAATGAAGAGTTTGTACGTGCGCCCGCGTAATGCCACGAACAATGAAATAGTTGTTTCGTAGTCTTCGTCTCGGGATATTATTGGGGAGGAGGACAGACCGTGACGCCCCAAGCGGTTAACTTATCAACTACACGGATGGGGACAACAAATACAATGACGCAGCGCTCGGCCGACATAACCGAACACGGCGTCAGCGTTCGGCTGGAGTTCGTGTTCTCCGGCGAGGGGGAGGAGGGGCTCTTTTGTTTCCACAACGGCCTGCATGAACAATGCAGCATGCACGATCCCAGCTTAGCACAAAAGCCGAAGTGGGTCAAGCTCCCATTCTCTGAGGATAGATCCGGCACTTAACGTCGCTTCGTCGATTGTTAGTATTTTTTACATTAAACTGTGCCCCGCGCTCTATTGTAGAAGATGACATGGCCATGCCCATAAGGCCTGTTGGCATGTGCACAGGCCTTGTGTTGAGTAAACACCGAGCGTGGGGAAAACAAACGGGTCAGAGCGCCCCCTATAGTTCGATCTCCTGCCCAATAGGGACATAAGCTGTTGTAGTCCTCTTGCTTAAAATGAACCGTTTTCGGGTGCAACCATTTGTTTCATTCTTCGCAGGTCAAAATCTGGTTCCAGAACAGACGTTACAAGACAAAGAGACGTCAAGGACAGGAGTGCGATCTCTCCCCAGCACTAGTGAGCCCCGGTTGCCGGACAGCGTCCGTCAAGGTCCTCGTACGGGATGACCAGCTCGTCTACCGAAGAGATGAGGTCGTGAGACCGGCCGTGCTTCTACCGTCGGTGCCCCTGCCTGGACTGTACCCACTCTACGCGTACCACAGGCACGTCAGCACGTGCTCATACGTTGGTTGCACGTCATGAACACATCACAGCAGACCTTGGACAGGGTGAAGTGGAGTGACCTGCTTTTCTGGATGGGTCGCGAAGAAAACATTGGCGTGGGGACACGAGCAATCCAAAGTTATACTAAAAATATATTTTCAGTTTGTGCAAGACCGGTAAACTAAGGTTCCGTATTTACTTAGCATCATAATATAATTTGTGCAATTCATACTCGGAGTTTTTTTAGAAGGTCTATGCGCGCATGTACTTTCTCCTAATATAAGATTGAAGAAAAGTAACTTTAAAATGTGGGCAATTATAAACTACTTGATATCACAGCGATGCGTAGACATTTAAAGTTAAAAAAAAACTGTTTTTGGACAGTTATATGTTGAACTGAGTTATATACTCTAGTTCTTGTTATATCTCGTGCAAGCTCGTCCTGTTCTGGGTGGTTTGCTTGTTACTTCATAGAGGAATGCCAACCGAAATTTAAAAAAAAAGCCAGAAAAAATGTAATATCAGCCGCTGTTCGCATGACCATCCCCTTGTTTACTTCAAATGTTCTATCGCCATTGCAGGTCGATCTATGAAGTGTAATACATGCACTTAGAAATGCGGACACAAGGTACCTCATGTATGTAACATCCTAATATTTTCTCTAGAATATTTACTGCAATAGGCATTCCATATGTGGATTGCAAACATGTTTTAAATCGTTTTCATGTTCACCATGTTACTTCCTTCCTAATATTTCTTGTTCCCTACATTGAAATCATTTATTGTGCAGTACAGCGAAGTCCGGAAAACGTTTGTGCTAGGCAGTACTGAATTGAGCTAAACCGCCTTTCAATTCCAAACCCTCAGACACCTGATGTGCAGAAGATGAAACAGGGGAATAAAAATAGAATTTCTTGTCAGGTTTTTTTAATGTCTGACAATATTTGCTTGAGCTCCCACTTTAGGATACAAACCTTTCCCCTGAAGCTCTGTGACAGTTGCCAGGTATAAATGTTTACACATTGTGATTTTGAAGTACGAAAATGTGCTATTCCAACTTCTGAGGGCATGGATGAAAGCGAAAACGTATGTTGAAAACGCATGAACCGAGCAAAATGTTTAGCCGCTACTTCCGTACACCCGTTCAGCTCGAAGTTCAGTTTAATCAGACATCCAGTTGGACCCACCACGAAAGCTAGATTGTAAAGCCAGTACCTGCACGCCAATTAGAGGGTATCCTGACATTTCTGACTGACGTTACTTCTCCTCCGAGTGACAATCGGCATAGCTACATGAATTAACCAGGTTTACGCGGCACTCTATGTACGAGTTTATTGGTAATAACCTATTCGTTTTTTAACTGTATGAGTCTCTAGAATGCGCAAAATAACTTCCTAATGAAAATACCTCGACCTGTGTTTATAAATGTTTTTATAGAAGGATTCTCGGGGAAGAAAAAAGTGATGACATGTAAAGAACTGATTCTCAATGGTTCTTCAGTTTCAAAAATCCCCCGGTAGTAAAGAGTCGCAATCTGGAACTTTTAATGCTCCAAAAATAAAATCATTTGTGAGTAGTGTAGTCTGGTCGCTTTAACTAATGAAGCTAGGCACGTGCCATATCGCAAGCGCACCCTTCTGTTTTAGGAGTTACCGATGTCTCATTACCCATGGTACGTTTACATGAATTCGATTGTAGCACATCGAATCGAGAAAGCGCCAATCACACGCAGCCTGCCTTCCTACTTCTTCCACTTCTACCCATCTGCTACCAATAAAAAAAAAATAATCGAGTCCCGATTATATGCACTATTGTCGCATCCATGTAAACGCAGCCAATGCAAGAGGATGGTTTCCATTCAAATTGAGATTCGAATTTCTCTAATTGCATAACATGATGCATGCAAATATCGCCTACCATTCGTATGTTTTAAATCTGACAATGTGAGTGTCGTGTGTACATAATATTGTTCTATTCATTTAATCATTTTATTATTAAACCGTTATTAAAGCGACCTATTTATTTAGATAGAACATTTACGTTATCTCTAGTTATGCGGCGCTAATAGATTCGCTGTTGTTATCAAAGAGATAGCTTCGAATCTGTATTACTTGAAAGTAAAACATCGCACATGCATTATGATTTCTGCAATGCTGGAAGCGTTATTCAACCTGTTATAAAACCAAAACTCTGGACTTATGTGCACAGTGTCTCCACTTGCTAATTGTAAAGGCACCCTTCAGAAATCCGGTTTTATGCGACCGTCTTGAACTACTGCAGAGCGATTATGAATTCATTAAAATAAATAAGAAGAAAAAATGACTAAGTACAAAAGGAGATATTGTAGTGAGTGCTCAGGCGAGCTGGTGGAAATTAACCATTCTGATGTTAGCCTGAGACTGAGGCAGGAAAAGAGGAAGTTTCAAAGTAGAAGAAAAAGGAACAGTCGAGGATACGTCTCTAACACAGCTAAAAACAAGTTTATTCGGTCACCCTCTTATATACACTCCACAATCTTCACCAGAGAACCTTCGCGACCTCCAAAGCCAAAAGATAACAAAGAACTCATCCCTTTCCACCACCACAGTTCGGACTATAAGTTGAGTAAGCTCATGCCCTTCCACAAGAGTGTAAGGGATTGCACAAAAAATGCATCGAGAGAAGTCTATTCCGTGTTATAATGGAGTGGTATACGAAATTCCCCTGGAATGTGGTTTTAAGTATGTGGGTCAAACGTCGAGGTGTATAAATGATAGATTGACTGAACACAAAAGAAATGTCAAAAACAACGCGACTGATTCGGAAATAGCGAAACATGTTCAAGAATGTAATGTTGTATACCACGCTGGTCCGAAACAGAAATAATACACAGGGAAGTAAACGACATCAAAAGGGTTGTAAAGGAAACAATAAGAATGAAATCAATGGGCAACTGCATTAGTCAAGTGTCGTTACAGCTTAGCAGCAGTGCAAAAACCTTCTTGCGGATTTGCCGCAGTTTTGTTAAGTGGTTTTTGATTGTGAAAGGGTGTAAGTGGTTTCCTCCTTTGTGTCTTCGGGTTGGGATCAGGTGGATTGGTATCTTCTGTTGCCGGGTTGTTTTGGGATTGGGGGCCGGGGAGGAGAGGAGGAGGGTGTGCTATGTACGCGAAGGTCGATTGTCTTCCGGGAGAGCGGAGCTAGGTTGTGTTGGTGAGGGGGGGGGGGGGGGGCTTTATATAATTGTCAAGGTCGTTTGATTATTCTGGTGGAAAGAGATGAGTTCTTTGTTATCTTTTGGCTTTGGAGGTCGCGAAGGTTCTGTGGTGAAGATTGTGGAGTGTATTCGCGTCTCCAGCTCGACGCTCGCCCTCCCGCGGCGGAAAGTGGAAGCGCTCTAGTGAGGGTCCCCCGATTCTCCTGCTCAGCGGGCATGGGGAACTGCTCGCGATCATGGCTCGCGAAATGTCGTTTCCGAATGCAAACGACACTCTTCACTGTCCCTAAGTAGTGCTGCAGCCGGTACGGGATTGCACCTTACTGGAGAGTTTTAGTATTGCGCATAAAAGCAAACGCAAGCGGTGTGCGTTTGCGTTAGAGTTGCGTGCCCCACAATGTGCGTGCGCGTCATCGCCATGCGCCATCCAAGACCGCAATTTCTGGCTCCGCGCACGCGCAGTGTGGAACGCGCAAAGCTAACGCAAACGCACAGGGCTTGAGTTCGCTCGTATACGCAATATTAAAACTCACTACTGTTTCACCGGCTTCCAACGCCAACGAAACGTGCTGCAGTTATCAGACGTGCAAGCAGGTAGGCGTTCCTTCGATCTGGAAAGGCTGAGATTGGAAAAATGACGGCGAGCAAATACAAAAGTAAATAAATGTTATGAAAAAACTAGTAATTAAAAAAAGTTTTTTTTTTTTTTTTTTAGCTTTTGGGCATTTGGTTTGGAAGTATATTGGCGGCGACTTTGAACGTTTCGCCGATTGTCAAAAGTCGCGACTTTGATAGCACAATATACTTTACCCACAATTAATGTAATTTTACATGGATTTCTCACATTAGCTAGAATGTTTTAATTGATTTTAGACTATTTTTTATTTTATTTGTAATTAAAATGCAGCAATTGGAACCAGTGATGATAATTAGCACAGTTTTCATTGTCATATTTCTTCGCGCGTTTAAAATTAGATCATAAGCAACAAATTATATTAGAGCCTTGAAGAATTACTTTTTAAAATATGTGAATTTTAATATTATTATTATTAATACAAAGTCGCGGCAATGTATGCCTCTAATTAACGCCAAGATCACGGGAATACTCTATTTAACCATAATAGTCTTGCCAGAAAGGTATAATTCTGATTTTAGCATAAAAAAAAAACTCCTGACATAGTTATCAAGATAGACAAACAGCTAAACACTGGATGTATTATGAAATCCTACGCGTCACGCGGTGCTATAAAAACACACACACACACACTTCAGCTGTCTGACTCGGATTCCGTCTTGGGTTGTTGCAGTGAGAGCAGCGTTTATTAGTTTATGCGTTTCGTGGACACATTGTAAAAATTGGAATTATTCTCTTATTCTTGTGCTGGGATAATTGTCATTATTTCCTATGGCAATTATCTGAGCGAGAAAAAGGCAGCGACAACGCACAGATATCAGCACTGATTTTTTCAACAACTACGAATATCAGCCTGGATCGAACAGTATGTCACAAAATAAAGTTTCCGCGAACAACTTTTCTAAGTAAATAATTACGATGTGAGACACATCTTGAGTCATGAAAGAATCTGAAATTAAAGGGGCAGTCAAGTGGTTTTTGAGTTCGTGTTTTGACAATGACAGCTGAATTTAGACGCCTTAAGTATCCCTAAAAACCAAAAAGTATAGTCATACGGTGATTATTTCTTTAATAAAATTGTAATTGAAGGCCGCCAAACCTCGGATCCATCCGAAAACGAAACCACTCTCATTGGTCGTCGCACGCTTATCAAAAGGATCTCGGGCCAATGGCGTTGGACGACGTTCCGTCGCGCAGTGATCCCGAGGTAGCCGCATCCACAGCCGCATCGGCCGAACCTTTTCGTCATTCGAGCTTCGATCATGGCGGAGTTCTCTACGCTCGAGGACCTGACGCCGTTAGAGGTTGAAGTTCTTCGGCGGACAGCCGACC